GCAATGTACAAATTGCGGTGGTGCAGAGTCCACTGCCTGTCTGAACGAGCAAGATTTTTTACAGCAACTCATATTGGCAATTGGGATCAAATAGAAATTACCGAAACTGAAGAAGCTAAAATAAAAACAAAGAGGATAAAAAGTATGTTGACAGAGCAAATCCAACAACAACAGCCGTTACAGAGCGTAACGAAAGAAACACAGAGAGAATATTTGCACCGCACGACGATTGAAATTCGAGAGAGCAAGTATGCAAACACTCACACTAACCAATGTACATATAACAAGTAAGAAAACTCTAGTCGAGAGTGCTCGACTAGATACTACCCTGAACCCAACAAATAAAAATGCCCATTTTGTATGGCTGAAATTTCAATTTCGATGTATTTAAAAATTTAAATAAAATACCAAACAAATTTAATAAAATATAAAAATATTTTGAAACAATTAAAAAACTTAACATCAGTTGCACCGATCGTGATTCGAACCACAACTTCTCGATCGAGCGTCATGCAGCTAACACACTAGGCCAACCCACTCCTGCTAGTGGCGCTGGCAAAACTCAAATAGATTCACTGCTGCTGCGCCATCTACCAAAACTAAACGAAACTAACAGCTGATGTGATTCAACGAATGTTTGTAGAAGAAGTTTGAATGTATGTGTGCACACGCATACGATGCTATTTTAGCTGCTGCACGTGCGTTTGTTAATTGGCCAAATATTTGATGATTTTTAATTAATTTTTGACTGAACGGAATTTAATGAAACTTTCAGCATATGATCTACATATTATATTGAATATTTGAGAAATTTAAAAAAAAAAGAAAAATATTCACAATTAGTTATAGTGGCATCTGACTTGAACTTGAATGTTTTTACTCGATAAAAACATAACGGGATGATTTATCGAATTTTAAAAGCAAACTCGACGTCCGCGCTGTATATACGGTCATTTAAAAAAAAATCAAGTCTCTAGCTCTTATATCTTCCAAATCGAATCAGCTCGTCGCCCTGATCAAGAATATATATACTTTGTGGGGTCTGCCACGCCTCCTTCTGCCTGTTACATACATTTCAACAAAACCATTATACCCTGATTTCCCATTGAAAATGGGTTCAGGGTATAAAAAGTGAAATGAAGAGAGCGCCAAAAACAATAGAAGCACTAGAGTAAAATACAAAATAATGCAAATATCCAACCGATGCTTCGCAAAACTTCGCAGATTAAGAAAAGCAATTATAGAAAACACAGCCACGGATCAAACCTTGCATAGGAATAAACAGCCACCAGCAAAAATCAAACTGACCGCAGTTGTGTGAAATATAATAAAAGCAATTAATTATAAAAAACAAGCAAATTTGCTGAGAGCTCTGGGAACTATGGGTTTTGCGTATGTGTGTTTTTTCTATATTCGTTTATTTACAATCTTATACTACAAGTTGCAAGTTGAGTGGTGGCTCGGATAGTGCGCGATGCTTGCTTGGCCGTAAAGCATTGCTTCGCAAGCACTATGCGCTACCTTAGCCTGGTACAGCTCGTCTTCTCATTCGCTCGACTCTGCGCAGCTCCATCATCACTGTGGCCGCGAAGGTGCTTGTTAGTTCCCAAGCTTCCTCCGATTCCAGCATGGCGTTGACTAAGTTGTCCGCTCTAATGGAGCGGCCCAGTGCCTTTTCTAGACGACGCCTCTCCTCCAGGAACCGTTCACATACGAAAAGGATGTGGTTGGTGTCTTCCACATGCCCTCGCCCGCACCAGGGGCACTCGTCAGTTTCCCTCGTGACCAAAGCGCTTCAAATAGCTCCGAAAGCATCCATGGCCCGAGAGGATCTGCGAAAGATACAAGTTAACCTCGCCATGTTTGCGGTTAACCCATGGCTCGAGCTCCGGGATGAGCTTGTGCGTCCACCGCCCTTTAGCTGAGCTATTCCACTTCCTTTGCCATCGTGCAATGCTGTTGGCCCTGATAGCGTTGTGTAGCACAGACGCGTGCGAATTCCGCTCCACGGCTTCGGCGACCAGGTACTCCAGTGGCACCATGCCGGCTATGACAAGCGCCGCATCATCGGAGATAGTCGTGAAAGCGCAGCTGACTTTGATTGCGCTCAGTCTGTAGATCGCGCAAATGTCCCGGCTGTAGCTCGGCGTTGCCATCGCTCTTGACCATATTGGCGCAGCATAGAGGATGACAGACCTAATGACGCTAATTAGAAGAAGTCGTCGTTGCTGTTTAAGTCCCCGCGTGTTAAGCATGATTCTCGAGAGAGCTCTACAAGAATCAGCTGCCTTTTTATGCACATATTCTAAGTGCTCGCGGAAAGTTAATCTTGTGTCTAACATGACGCCAAGATACTTAATCGCCCTCTTTGACGCGATACTGACGCTGCCTATCCTTATATTGGCAGTCTCCACTTTCTTGCGACTGCATACTAGGACGACTTCCGTCTTGTGTGCCGCAAGCTCGAGCCCAGCTCCTGTCAGGCAGCTTCGTATGCGATTGATACTTTCGCTGCACATATCCTCTGTATCTGTATGCTCCTTGCCTATGGCGACGACAGCCACATCATCAGCAAAGCCAATGGTGTGCGCACCTGCTGGTACTTCCAAGCGCAGTACGCCATCGTACATGATATTCCATAGGAGAGGCCCCAGCACTGAGCTTCCAGCTGACACTGTATGAGTTTGGGGACCCTCACTCGTATTGTATACCAGTGTTCTTCCTCTGAAGTAACTCTTTATTGTTTCTTTAAGATATTTAGGGATATTATATTGTGACAGCGCATTCAGTATCATATCCCAACTAGCTGTGTTGAAGGCATTCTTAACGTCTAGGGTCGCGATGATGCAGTATTGCTTCGTCCCGTGCCTCCATCTGGTGCCTTGTATGGCGGAAGTTGCCAGGCCAACAACTTTTTCTAGACCATCCGTTGTTGACCGGGCCTTGATTTGGTGATAGGCCTCCGGCGCTAGCAATAGCAGTCTCCAGTCTAGAGCAGATCAATTTCTCAAACTCCTTTCCTATGGTGTCTAAGAGGCAGATCGGTCTGTATGAAGATGGCTCGTCTGATGGTTTGCCAGCCTTAAGTAGCAATACCAGGTTCTGGGTCTTCCATTTTGTAGGGAACGTCTCTTGTAGTAAACATTCGTTGAATAATTCGGCGAACGTACTAGGGTGCAAGGCGAGGGCTAGGTTTAGTGCACGATTTGGGATCCCGTCCGGCCCTGGAGCTGTGTTGGTTCTAAGACCCCGGAGAGTTACTATGATTTCTTCTTCCGTGACTAAAACAATTTCAGTGCTCGTTGAGCCCTGATCAGCAGACTCGGACCCAGGGGCGTGAATGGAGCTTAAACTTTCTGGAAAGAGCGTTTCCACAATCGATTTAAGCTCCAGACGATCCGTAGGCTGCACCTGTCTACCTGCGTATAGTCTTTTAACTACTATCTTATATGTCCTGCCCCAAGGGTCATATTCGGCTGAGTCGCACAACTCTAAAAAGCATTCTCTTTTCTTCTAGCTGCCTGGTAAGCTAATTGTTTCTCAGAAAACGTAGACGAATGTCACCTATTTGTGCATTCTACCAATACGTAGGCTCTTGTTGTCGAGTGAACTGCTTGCGGCGTAACATGCTGCTATTGCAGGCACTCTGTATTTGGGCCACCATTTGGCATGCTCTGGCCTCAGCATTACCAATTGTGCCCAGAGACTGAATGGCCTCTGAAAAGACCGCGGGATCAAAAGTATCCAGCCGATACGATTCCCTCCACAAGGCTGACGCCCTGGCAGGTGGCTCACCTATTGTGAACAGAAGTGCCGTATGATCACTGCCCGTATAGCTATCGCAGTGGCTCCATGTTGCTTCCCGAACGAACGAGGGCAGCTGGTTCTACAGTGGTGAGGCTCACTGAGAAATGCTACGTTTATACATTTTTCCCTTATGGTCTGCTCTAGAATATCTTGGGCAGCAACACAATGATTTAAGCAAGCGAATTAGAAAAGCAGGAGATGCCAACAACAAAGGAGTCTCCAATCGAGAATGAGGACTTTCAAAGTAAAACTGATTTAATATCGAAAGTATCAAAATATTCGTAAGGGTCAAGAAAGAATAAAAAATTATTATATATCGCATTCTTAATTTATATATACACATATCCTTGTTATGCAACTCAATAGAGGATGCAATCCGCAATTACAGAGTATTCAATATGCGTCAATATGCAACTATTTTTGGGTCAGCTCACCTGCGAAATTTCAGCGTTGCAGATTGATACACTTTTATCTGATTTGTCACGTCACTAATGGGCGTAGATATTCGCCATATTTTTATTTCGATTTACCACACCCTTACTGGGCAGATAGTAATAAACAGACAGACGAGCTTTGCCGCACAGGATTTGATATTTCAATATTCTTTCGCTTCTTTTAGGTATGAGATAAATATATTAGAGTTAGGCTGATGTCAGAGTGGCCGCCATAAGCAATGCGATAATATGGAGCGACAATAAGCGAGAAAGCTCTACATGCAGATTTACATATAATCGCTTAAAACATGTCAGAGTGCAAGCGAAACGAGAAGAGAGCCAATGTCAGAAGTAAAGTGAGTTGCGAGAAAGCATTCCTTAATCGTTTTCTCGCTTTATCGCATGATAAGTAGTAGATGGAATATATTCTTTTTGGCAATTCAAGCAATATTTCTCTTTTTCCTTCTGACATGCCATCGCTTTGCATATCGCTGCGATAATTATCGCTTATAGCATCGCATCGCTTATCGCGGCCAGTCTGACATCAGGCCTAGAAGCTTAAGCAATTGATAATTGAGTTACTGTTAACCTCTATTGATGACCCAAAAATAATTTTTGATCTCATTAGCCATTTAAGTGGGAAGTCAGGTTATAGTGGTTTTATGAAAATCTGGCTGAAGGATTTATGGGATATTGTATTGGCGTAGACGCGACTAAACCACTCTTACTTGATTTTTATATAATTTCTAATATTTGCAGCCGATGTCGTCAAAGTAGTAATTTTTGCGAGGGAGAAGAGTGTTACACGAAACCATCTGCTTTCACCTATAATTTTATAACATTTGTATCCAAATTAATGATACCGCCAGATGGTAGAACAATATTTACCCTCCGTGGACCCATATGGTATGACGATATTGATTTTGAACTGAAAATAATAAGAGTTCAAGCAGCACCAAACATTGTAAAAGCAACAGACAGTTATTTTGAGTAAGTATATACTCGTATAGAAATACAAAGAATTAATATATCAGATAATTATTACAATAAACTACCAATTCAAAAATAATCCAATAATCCACTATATTTGTCTATTTCTAGCACGTTGAAAAGCAACAATCAAGTGAATGTGATATTAAAAAAAAAACTCGAGGGGCCACAAGATGTTGAACTTGCTTTAAGTATGACGGTATTTACCAATGGAATGCCTCGTGGCAAAAGTGTTGCCAAACTGTTCCTGTTTGTTTCCCAATATACATTTTAATATAATAACCATTTTCGATCTATAAAATGTTGTTGCAGACTAAAGCTTAAATAAAAAATGTTAATTTTTTCTTACATCAATCAGAACTAGAAAATCGTCTGTTTATTTGTTTTTATACCCTGAACCCAATTTCAATGGGAAATCAGGGTATAATGGTTTTGTTGAAATGTTTGAATGTATATTTATATGCATTTTATACAAATTCGGTTTTTGTTAAAATTTACCCCCCATCCCTAAATCAACCCCCTCACTCACACCTTTGTAAAAGGCGTATTTCAAATACTAGAGACTTGTGCTTTGGCAAGTGCACGCATATTATTGTTATAATTAAGATCTAAAAGTTTCATGAAGATCTTATGTCCACAAAAACAGTTATTAAACAATTAAGTTCTCATAGTAAGCGCACACTGCAGCCCATGCATGTTTATGCGTGGGTGCTTGTGTGTGTATGTGTTTGTGTGTGCGTGTTTCTTGTGTAAGCAGAAATACGCAAAAAATGATTGAAATAGCTATTGCTCGAAGGGTTAAGGGGATCTCGTTGTCGAGCAGTCTCGACTAGAGCTTTCTTACTTGTTATATCCTGAACCCATTTTCAATGGGAAATCAGGGTATAATGGTTTTGTTGAAATGTATGTAACAGGGAGAAGGAGGCGTGGCAGACCCCACAAAGTATATATATTCTTGATCAGGGCGACGAGCTGAGCCGATTTTTTTCCGAAGATATAAGAGCTAGAGACTTGAATTTTTTTTATATGACCGTGTATACAGCGCGGACGTCGAGTTGGCTTTTAAAATTCGATAAATTTAATTTAATTGTTTCAAAATATTTTTATATTTTCATAAATGAGTTTTCTATTTAATTTATATTTTTAAATACACCGAAACTGAAATTTTAACTATACTTTATGTGCGTTTTTAATAGTTTGGTTATTCTAGCAGATTCTTAGAATCACATCAGCAGTTAGTTTCGTTTAGTTTTGGTAGATGGCGCAGCAGCAGTGAATCTATTTAAGTTTTACCAACGCCACTAGCAGGAGTGGGGTGGCCTAGTGTGTTAGCTGCATGACGCTCGATCGAGAAGTCGCGGTTCGAAACCCGGTCGGTGCAACTGATGATAAATTTTTTAATTGCTTCAAAATATTTTTATATTTTCATAAATGAGTTTTCTATTTAATTTATATTTTTAAATACATCGAAATCGAAATTTTAGCCATAGTCAATGGGCATTTTTATTAGTTGGGTTCAGGGTAGTATCTAGTCGAGCACTCTCGACTAGAGTTTTCTTACTTGTTTTTGTTTTTTTTTTTTTTTTTTTTTTTTTTTTTTTTTTGTTGTGGGTCTTATTAGTTGAACAACTTGACTTAAAAGCACCATGACTGACAAAACACCACCTATTTGCTTGAAATTGACATCGAATTATTATTTATTTGTTGCATTATAATGTGAGATCAAAGAGTAAAGATAAAACAAGTAAGAACATTGCAGTCGGGCGATACCGATTGCAGAAGACTCATTCACAGCCCAAACGCTGTCAACCAGAGTATATAGTGCAATTTTCAAGTCTAGTGCGAAACAAAAACACGGCATGATGCCATTAAAATTGGAAAATCATCGATAGCTATTGCATTCAAATTACATACATATATAACTAGTTGTCCCGGCGAACTTCGTACCGCCTAACAGTCTCTATATATATAAAACAAAGTAGAGTTTGTTACAAAACTTATAATTCGAGATCTGCTGCACCAATTTTCATGGTTTTTGATTTGTTGGATTTGTCTCTGCCCCGAATTGGAAACAGGCATTGTATTTTTGAGTGCTCGCTAGAAAAGTAGGGAACGCAATGGCTCTGGTGGCGGGACCACTAATGGCAATGTCACTTTACCACTAAGGCAGCACAAACCGGGCATTTCACCAGCAAACTTCAATGCGTCACAATGCTGGCAAGCAACGTCCATTGGACCAATGCTGTTGAAATACGATAACAATAATAACATTATTATAAAAAGTATTAAACTATCGGTTAAATACCAGATTCAATTCTAATGGTATTAATGTATTTTATCATATGTAAATATCTGGTCACTCTGAATTATGATCTCTCTCTTTCTTTAAATATTCTAAAGTGTATAGACGTGGTATTGGTGTAACTGAATATTAATCTGATAAAATAAACTTAATCATATAACTAAACTGAAATATGAAAACTCTATTATTTCTCTATAGTGAAAAGCTAGAAGTACAACAAATGCAAACTAAACGATTCAATCTATAGTCAATGGTGCAATCATATTGAAACGCTTCTCGATTCAAATCAATCCTTGAACCATTTCTTATTTACATTTCACGGGCTGCCTCTCTTTGAGAAGCACGAATTAAGGCCCTTCTTTGCTGGGTACTAACGCGGAGCCTTTCTCGGGCGATTTCTCGCTCTTCGTCAGATAATTGACTCGCGATATTCCGTTGCCTAATTGCATTATGCGTCCGCCGGGAAAGATTAGATCTTCTAGGACGCGGCATTTTTATTAATAGTAATACTGCCCTCGCACAAACAAATACCTGAACTTTCGAGATATTTAGCTTTTGTACGCACGCGCACAATTATTATTTATAAAGTTTAAAAGTCCAAAAATATAAAAAGCCAAAAATACACTTTTTAATAATTAACTTTTTTTTTTAATTTCGAATTTTGAATTTTTTATTTATTTTTTGAACAGTCAGGTTTTAATCTTTTGATTTTTTTTGAATTTTTGCAGATTTTTGACTTGAAATATTTTTCTTTTTGATTTGGAAAAAAAAAATTTTTTTTTGTTGATTTTTTTTTTTTGAATAGTCTTTTTTTTTTTTTTTTTTTTTTTTTGTTGAATAGTCTTTTTTTTTTTTTTTTTTTTTTTTGTTGAATAGTCAGGTCTGCTCGAGGCTGTGCCGTAGACTGACTGACTACATTTGTTTATTTACTTCTATACAGGACCGAAACTGTCACTGTTGTCAAGGCTACTGAGTATAAATGGAAATTTGAATCTTTAGGGAAAAAACCGCGTTTTTCAAGTATAGGTCAAAATTTTTCAGTATTTTAAAGATCTACTGACCTACTAGTTCCGGAGACAAATCCAACAAATCAAAAACCATGAAAATTGGTCCAGCAGATCTCGAGTTATAAGTGCTAAGACACTTTTACACAACTCTCTTTTATATATATAGATTTATATCCATACATTGGATACCGGCTTCAAGCTAACAGCAGATCAGCGCGATTTTCCTATGCTTGTGCACACACTCATCGTCTATTCTATGCGTACAGACAAAAGCGCGCCTTTTCTCATATTCTAAGAATTTCGATTGATTTCTGGACTTTCTAGCCGTAGTTTTGTCTGATGACGCTCTCTTATTAAGCTATTCTATTTTAGCAACTGACTGCTCGAGCAAAGCAGTGGCGCGGATGCTAAGGGCGACGCAAGTAATGTTAGAGTAGGGGAGGTTCGAACCTTTACTATGTTATTTTTTTTTCATACATATTTCGTTTTATATAAAATAGATATTTTCTTGGGAAGGTGCGAGCTTGACTGAATGGCACTTAATACTTTTCATATTCTTAGTCGAATAATTTTATAAGTTTAAATTTCTTTCTTCTTAAATAGCCCTCAAATACATAAACGCAAATACATACATATATGTAAGTCTGCACGCATAGCATCAAGCATTCCAGCCTTATACACGCGCTCATTTGTATGTGTCTATGTATGTACACATAAATGCGTGTTCCAGCATATTCTATGAATCCCGTTGCGATTGATTTGTCTTTGCATTGTTTTTGAATTTCCTGCCGCTACACTGGCTTTTCTTTGCAATGTGGCGTCATAACAATAATGTTATTTCGTTTTAAGTACTGCCCATCAAAACGACGCGGTGGTTCTGTAGGCTGAAGCGCCGGCGATCTTTATTTTAGATATTTTGACAAACATGCTGTTTGGGTTGGGTGCGAGTTCAAATCTTGCTGAAAACACTTTTTTGTAAATTCCAAATTTTTGTTATTTTAGCTTCTTTTATATTTTTTTAAATTCATAAAAATGTTTCTTTTCGTATTATGAATATCTATTAAGCTTATTTATATGTACAAATGTATAAACAGATGGCTGACGCATATAAATGTCGCAATTCGGGCACTGTAAGTGCCAATTGCCACGCCCCTAGTGGCCGTAGACTCCTCATTTTTAGCCAGTTCTTAGAACAAGCAACCAGTAACCTAAATGCAAAATTCTTACGCTCAAAAAATGTGAAAATTACAGGGTATTTTTCGATATGCCACGCCCCTAAAGAGGCGTAAAAATTATTTTTAGGGCATCGATAGAGGAGGCTACCAGTAACTATCTAACTATCCAAATTTGAAGCTTCTAGCTCTTAAACTGTAGGAGATATAAACTTTTGCGGTTTGCCAAGGCCCCTAGGGGCTGACATATATCTACCATAGCTCGTTGGACTTGGGTGATCAACCCGCGTATATATACCAAATTTCAGATCTCTAGCATCAATAGTGCCTAAAATATAGCAGAATTCGAAAAATCACTATACCTTCAGGTCCGATTTGCCACGCCCCTAGTGGGCGTAGATATTTAACTTTTTCACCCATCTTCACAGAATTAAAACATCAGCGTACGTGCAAAATTTCAGCATTCTAGGTTTATAACTTTAGGAGATACAGTTTTATCCGATTTGCCACGCCCCTAATGGGTGGAGCTATATCCGCCATAGCTTGTGATCTTGGGTGGTCGGCGCGGACCTACATACCAAATTTCAGCTTTCTAGCTCTTCAACAAACATGATTTCTGGTATATCGGAAAATGCATTTTCCGATTTGCCACGCCCCTAGTGGGCGGATCAGGAAAATTTTAACGCTTTATAAATCGGAGATATACACGAGTATGTGTTCCAAATTTCAAGTCTCTAGCTTCAATAGCGCCGAAATAGATTGCGTTCATACGGACAGACGGACGGACAGCAAGACGGACATTGCACAAAACCAATATACTCATTTCACTTTCGTGAATGAGTCTAAAAACCTAGAAGGTCGAAAATGGGAAATCAGGGT